CACACACACACACACACACACATACACACACGCACGCACACGCACACGCACGCGCACACGCACACGCACACACACACACACACACACACACACACACACACACACACACACACACACACACAGATTCACCGACTTCAGAGAGCAGTTGCCTTTGCATGAGGATGAAGCGCAAGCATGTTGCTGGCCGGACAGGAACTAATTTGTCTAACCTTGACCCCATAGCTTTCTTTTTTTTAGACGCTGCCTGGCGCTTATGATATTGTTGTCATCTTGCAAGAAAGGTTTCTCAGCTGAATGTTTTCATTGCAGTCCAACAGATGCTTCAGCTTGAACTCACGATAGGTTCATCATCACAGGCGTCAGACATACTCTTCCTTGGTCTGAGTTCGCTTCTTGACATCCGTGATGGTTGGCAGCAAGTGTCTTTGATTGCAAAGTTTCAGCTTTTCATTTCTTTTGTTTGGCATTCTTGGCATTAATGCGAACATTCATTTTGCTGCAAACATGTCACAACAAAATGCTTGTGCATTTTCTTGCAACACGTGTTTTAAAATGAGCTCACTCGTATGTTCATTTTCACAGTCGCAATTTTCACAGCCCAGGGCGACATTGCAGGTATACCACGTTGCAGGTAGGGCGTCAAGTATCCGCTCGCTTGGAAAGATCTTCGTGGTTTCCATCCTTGCTAGCTGTAGTGATCGTTGACAGTGTGCTCCTCAGCAGTATTTTGTTTTCATCTTCGTAAATGTGCCTTGTAGACACGTGATATTAGAAGCAAGCCAGTTGCCTATACATTCCGAAACACTCTTTTAAGTTTTTAGTTTTCAGCTTGTCCCATGGAGGCCGTACAGTAGCCAGAGTCCATCAAAGCAGCATCCATGATGTGTATTTGACCGCTTCTGCAGGAAATAGAACGAAAAAGGGGGAAATCAAAATAATCCAAAGAAAGGTAATGTAATCGAAAATGGTTATAAAAATACAAAACATAAAAAAATAATGCTCTTCTTTAAAGTGCAGCTGAAGGGTTCTGTATTTGAGAGAACACACTGGCAGTGTTTCAATCTGGTATTTTTGATCACAAACATCAAAATTATTCTTGAATTTGATGTGCCGAATGCGCTATAATAATACATACATACAGACATACATACATTTTATTGACTCAGTGGGACTATTAAAGACAGATATGTTTGCGGGCACATCAAAGCCAGCAAAGGGTTTGTCTAATGACACCCTAAAAAAAAAAAATTAGAAAAGTCCACTGAAGTGGTAAGGTGAGGACATTACCTTCAAAATGAGAACTGAAAGATAATAAAACATTCCACACCCCCCTTACCCGCCCCAAACCCTTCCCCCCCTCCCCCCTTCCGGATTGTAACACAGAGTACTAATTACAAAAAAAAAATACAGGATACGAAAGCAATGTACAAATGAATGTAACAACGTAAATAGAATTAACACTTACAGACGCGAGTCCCAAATAAAGTGTAACAGAATGCACGAAGACCGAAATATAAAATAGAAAAAGAAGAGGCAACATTTCGAATCTGCGGTAGCTATAGCAACCAGCACCATCAGGATCGTCATAAACGCACACGGAGTAGGCACTAAATACTATCAAGGTAAAGACACTTGAGTTCTTTTTTTAGTTTTCAGTGATGTGATATCATAAATATAGTCCGGGAGGGCGTTGAAGACGCGTGGCACATAAGATTCGGGCGAGCATTTACCATAGCGGGTGCAACAACGTGGCACTACAAATCGAGGAGAGCTGCGTAATGTGCGGGACGAATGTAGCGGTGTGTTGTAATCACTGCTCCAAACATTGCGAAGGAGGACGGTCTCAATAAAAAGTGAGCGGAAATTCGGCAGTTGAAGGCTTTCAAAAACGTCGGCAGTGGCAGAAAGAGGCGTATTGTAGAGGATGTTTTTCAGTATGCCTCTTAAAATAGTGTTAACTTTTGCCTGCCAGCGGCCTGAGCAGATACCAAACACTGATTCCGTACCGTAGCACACTGTAGGCAAGCGCGTGGACTAACAAAAACCGAACATTGACGGGCATAAACATCCGTGTGTTATAGAGCATACAAGATATAGTTCGTAGTTTACCGCATAAGTAGGGCATATGAGTGTTACAGGACATGTCGAAATAAAAATGAACACCCAAATATTTCACGTTGTTAACAGATTTGATCGGGTCACAGTTACACGGATGGCAGCATTAGGAATGGAGAATAAACCTGAGAGTAGCTTGGCGTCTTTTAAGGGGATTGCGGAAGCAAACAAGCTTTGTTTTAGAGCTGTTGATGTCAAGAAGGTTATCCGCAAACCAGTCTATTAGATGGGTGGCATTCGTCTGGAGAATGTTGACTGCAGAAGGGAAATTAATATGACGCAAAGTAAGGAGGGTGCCATCAGCGTACTGATAGATCTTGCAGCCATTGATAGCGCGAGACATATCATTGACAAAGATATTAAAGAGTAGAGGTGAAAGAACAGATCCTTGAGGTACCCCCGCTTTTAAAGAAAGGAGAGAGCTTCTGAATTTCCCAGTTAAGACAAATTGAGAACGATTAGTTAGAAAATTCTCTAATAAAGAATAAAACGGACCCGAAAACCTAAGCGTTGTAATTTTTTTAGAAGTAATTGATAACTGACAGTGTCGAAGGCTTAGATATATCCAGGAAGAGCGCACAAGTGAACATATTATTATCAAACGTTGAGTAAGGGTAATCTGAGAAATCCTCAAGAGCCGGTTGGGTGCCTCTCCCAGCCACAAAACCATATTGGGTGGGTGAAATAATGTCATGTTTATCTATAAAGCCGTTCATCGACTGAAGAAGGTGTTTTTCAAGCATTTGCCCTAAGATTGGTAAAATCGAAATGGGACGATAATTTTCAATTTTTGTTCGCGCACCCCCTTTGAAGAGAGGTCGTACAATGGCAACCTTAAGACCATCGGGTATTTTAGCGCTCGTAATGAAGTCATTCAACATAACTAGGAGAACCTTCTTAATCTTAGCGAAATTCCGTTGAAGATCATTTGTGCGAATACCATCAGCACCGGGTGACTCGTTGGCTTTGAAACTAAACAAAAGAGAGTAAAGATCGGCATCAGTTAACGGAGGAAGAAAAGCTGACGCTAGAGATGTATCAGCCAGAGTACATCGTTTGTCAACAGCGGCTTGAGTCACACCAGTATATTTACCAAAGAAGGCATTAAATTCATCTGCTAACGACGAGGTGAGTGAACCAAAATTATTTTCAAGAGTTTGGTCGATAGATTGTTTAGCCCCAGTACCTCGAAATTGGTTAATCAGTGACCATGCTTTGGATGAGTTAAGCTTGTATTCTTCAAACTTTAATTTAAAATATCGTCGCTTTGCAGAACGAATGGCAGCGTTCACGCAATTTCTGACCTGCCGAAATTCAATTTGAAAATTTGCATTATGAGGAGACTTCCGACATCGGCTCCACAAAACGTCTTTTTCTTTAATTTTCTTAATGATATCGTAAGTCAACCATTCGTGATGGGGTCTGCGCTTCTTTAAGGTAACAGTTCATTTGGCAGCGTCAGTGAAGGAGTTAAAAACCTGAACAAATTCTGTATACAGATCAACGCCACGAGCGGAGCCCAAAAAGCCATCCCAGTCATAAGAGGCAACAGCTTTGTCGAAAGAGACAATGTCAATAATCCGGACCTCTCTGATAATGTTAGACTGAGGTTCAGAGGTCGAAGTGTGTGTTATCCAACAGGAAACAAAGTAGTGATCCGCCAACTTTTCAAGAATTACAGCGCTGTCAACACGATCGCTTGGTGCCCGAATGCAAATGTGGTCAATACAAGTAGAGACGAGGTTTGTTCCTAGAAATTCTTCTCGAGTAGTGGCGTCAATAACGCATTCCAAACCAAGGTTCGATAAAATATTTAAGTAGTCACATGCGATTGGTGTCGTTGTCTTCGATACGTCTATATTAAGGTCGCCTATAATGCAGAGGTGTTGCATGGAGGATAAAGAGGAGAGAGTTAAGTCTAGCTCATCTAGAAACATTCTAGCATTTTCTGAAGGTGGCCTGTAGAAACAAAGAACAGATAGCGAAAAAGCGTTATTTTCAAGTTTGAGTGGAGGGATTCAGCATGAGAAAAAACTAAATCAAGGGGAGAAACTTGCCACCTTTGATGGATAAAAGCAGCGATGCCACCACCACTGCGCTTAGGTCGTATTGAAAAAAATTGGTTGTAATCTTTGAGGGCATATTGACCAAGCATAGATTCGGGGAGATTAATTTCTGTCCAAATGAATGCGTCGACATGAAACATTACATTGCGAACAATTACTCGAAAATGATCCCAGTGCTTACGGATGCTCCGGATGTTCACATGTAAGCAAATAAAACTTTTCCCCTCTGGTTTGTCTATTAGTGACTTAAATGCTTGAAAACGACTAAACTGCGAAAAGTTACTGCTCATACCTTACATAATCTTGGCGATATCCCCTACAGAATTAATCCGTAAGGGAGCTGAGTCTGCATTTTTCTTTGCATAGATTTGAGCGTTTTTTGTCCAGATGAATTTGTATTCCGTCTCTTTCCCCCTGTTCCTAGCCATCCAAAACAACTCGCGGTTGGCACGGGTGAGGTTTTCATTCAGGAACACATTGGGAAGAGTGCCGACACGGTGGAGGCTCCGCAGTCGGCCACGACACCCCATCCACTGCTCCTTCAGAGCAACCGACGCAAAGCTCACCAGGATTGACGGGGCATTGTCAGGTTTTTCTGCCTTTTTGGATGGCAGACGCCGAGCACAGACAACATCCGAAAGGCTTGAAGTGCGAGATGCCGATCTTGGAAGCTAGGTCACTTAGAGTCTCACCGAGATTTTCCTTTGGGGTTCATAGCAAACCTTGAATTTCTAAGTTTTTTAGACGACACTGCTGGTCTGCGTCGTTCATTTCTGCTTGAAGCTGGCGTATGGTGGCTGCTTGCTCGGTTGCTGTGGCCTAGAGTGCCCCGACTTCCGCTCTGAGGTCCTGTGTTAGTTGTTTCTGAGCTGCAGCTTCCACTACCATAGAGTCATACTGCGCGTTGATAAAAGTAACAGACTCCTCAACTTCTTTTACGGTAGTCTGTAGCCACTCCACAGTGGGCTTTAGTGCCAATACAGCGTCGACCTTGGCAGGTAGTGTTAGAAGGGTATCGACGCTTTCCTTTAAGCTCAGGAGCACATCAAGCTTTTGGTTGACTGATGCCAGCTGTGCGGAGAAAGCAATGTGATCGTCCTGGGAGTAATAATAATAATAATATAATAATAATAATAATGCTTACTGCACAATCACATATCAGGTACAGAAAATAATAACAATAATAATAATAATAATAAATAATAATAATAATAATAATATGCCCCATAGAGCTTCCTGGTGTGTGGTGGGATTCCTTGGGGAGCCTGAAGGAGCACCAGCTAAATTGTTAGTATATGGCTCTGGTGTATGGATAAGTAAACTGGTCAATGAACCATATTCCGGCTGGCGTGCACTCCAAACTACGGCTCAGAGACCCGCTAAAATATAGGTCTTACTAGTTAGTTGTAGCGGATCGTTTCTGCGCTCCGATGAGGATACGCAGAAACAACACAATGTACTTCTGTTTTTTTTGTTTTTTTTCCTTTTTAATTGACGTACTGGTTGCAACCGCGATAACCTATCACTTGCATACCTTGCAAAAACATTCCAACCTGAACTCATAAATCAAGTCATTTTTATTTAGTTCTGCACCTACAAGTAGCGCCAGCATTTGAATATGTTGCTTCCAGGCCACAACCAAGTCACTCCCAAGCATGCATTCAGCGAAAAGTAAAAACTAAGAAACGAAACCACGATCATAAAAATTAAAAAGTTCTCACCCTGCTATGCCGTCGAGGAGCGAGATCTTCCCATCGATTCGCTGTATAGTCCACGCTTTCGTAGTCATCCTTGCAGAAACTCAAATATGGACACTTTCACATCCAGTTTTCCGTCAAACTGCGGAAAAACAACATCTGTACGGAATGACAGCACCGACAATCGATAAGCAACGTTCTCGTTCACACACCAGGCCGCGGTTGTGTTGTATTCCAAAATGTGCTCGATCTCACTCGAGAGTTGAACTTCCGACCCTCGGCGTCCAAAAACCTACTCGCTTCTGGAGTTGTTCTAGTTGATTCCTCCAGCCTTCTTGTCACGTGACTCAACCCGCAGGAAAAAGCTTCGAAGAAAGGAACGCGACGGACGACCGTTGAAGCAGGGGGGTAAAGGTGGGTGAGGAGGAGTGGCAAATCCCGCGCGCCGACATCCTGGGTCCCGAGTGAAAGATCGCGAAAGAGAGCGACAGAAGACGAGAGAAAGAAACCAATGTTGCCAGCTGAAGGATGGCTGTCGCAATGGTAATCGCGAAGACTGAAAACTCTCAGCAATATAAACAGTGATAATTTAACGTTGCAAAAAAAATTTTGAGCTATTCTAAGGTTTATAAAAAGCAGCATACTCATTACGCTGCGTTAACTTCCCTTCTGTCGAAATCTCGAAAATCTGGTAGTTGCGCGGTTTCGTATTTCCGGGAGCGGCCGCACCCGCGCCCGGAAATACAAAACTAAACCAGATAACCGAAGCCGGTTATCTGGTTTAGTTTAGTGTTGACGGGAGGCCGTACATCTGCGTGCTATGCAAAAAGAAAGCTTAGAAAGGAACGCGAATATCTTTCCACCGATAAGTTCGTGGATTGTTGGTCATGAAACTGCTGTGATGATATATCTGTGTAATCGAAGGCAGTTGGTAACCATGTGGGACCCCGAGGGTCTGCCTGCATGGCCTGCATACTCCGCCGCTTGCGGCAGCCAGAATGCATGGGAAAATGACGGACCTTTTCCTCTAGAGTTAGTAGGGAGTTTTAGAATAACGTACGCAATTTTAGCGCACGCTAGCGCTAAATTTAGCGCTTGTATTAGCGCACGCGACGCAGAAGAATTTTAGAATAGCGTTTCTCCGCCGCGACGCAAAAGCCCAAGCATCTCGCGCTTGCGACGCCACCAAGATACAGTAAAAACTTTTATTTCACACACGAAATGATGTAACTTTAGAAAAGAAAACGAGTTTTTTTTTGGTCCAGAGTAGCATTTTAATTTGTTTAAACATGAGAACGCGACGCGAGCGGTTGACCGGTCGTGTCCGCTTGCGTCGCCTTGGCAAGAGAGGTCTCGTGTACTGACCTTCGCCGTGAAATGTTCGCGCGTCGCAAGCATCGAGTTGCCGGTGATCGCTGCTAAACCGAGTACAATTTCGTCCCGTATTGAAAATTGCAGTCGCGAGGATGCCGCCGACGTCGCACCCACGCCGCCGCCAAAGCAGCCGCCAACATAATCCTGGAAGCCGCCATTTTTTTAACTGTGCTCGTCTTGGCTTTAGCCAACTTCTCATCACGAATCCTCCTTGGAGAAGCGCAAAGACTCTTTGCGTACGCACGCTATTTCCGAGAAATAGGGAGTTTTCGTAGACCGCGCTGCCCCCTCCGCTAAGCGTTCCGCAACGAAGAAGTTGCTACTGCGCCTGCGCGCCGATAGCCTCGACTGTGGAGTTCCCGCTATTGTAGCGGGTTGCGGAGGGCCTTGCGGGACGCCGAAAACGATCTACGAAAACTCCCTAATAGCGCGCGCTAAAATTGCGTACGCAAAGCGCAAAACCTGGTTTGCGTTCGGAGCATGCGCAGTGGCGACGACGCTATTCTTTGCGTACGCAAAGCTTTAGCGTGCGCTATTCTAAAAATCGTAGTATGTATGATCTCTATGCGTTGAAGAGAAAAAAGAAAAAGAAAAAAAAGCGACGCCATGGCTTTTTTTTTTGTTTTTTTGTGCCGTGTTCAGCGTAGAGGATAAGAGAAAGTAAAAGAAAACGTGCATTGCAAAGAAGCCAACTGTCAAGGGGAGCCTTGCGGAGAAGCGCACTACCAGTTCAGCCTACTCATGCCGACGCTCCTTGAAGCGGGGGGGTAAAGGTGGGTGAGGAGGAGTGGCAAATCCCGTGCGCCGAAACCCGGGGTCCCGAGTGAAAGATCGCAAAAGAGAGCTACAAAACACGAGAGAAAGAAAGCAACGTTGCCAGCTGAAGGACGGCAGTCGCAATGGTAAACGCGAAGAGTGAAAACTCTCAGCAATATAAACAGTGATCATTTAACGTTGTAAACTAAATTCTGAGCTATTCTAACGCTTATAAAAAGCAATAAAGTCATTACGCTGCATTAACTTCCCTTCTGTCGAAATCTCGGAAATCTGGTGGTTGCGCAGTTTCGTATCTCTCAACCGCGCCCACGCGCGCCCCACCGGCGAAGCCGGGTATATGGTTTAGTTTAGCGTTAACGCGAGGCCGTACATCTGCGCGCTATGCAAAAAGAAAGCTTCGATAGGAACGCGAATATCTTTCCACCGGTAAGTTCGTGGATTGTTGAAGTCCATGAAACTGCTCTGATGATGTAACCATGCGTGGGACCCCGAGGGTCTGCCTGCATGATCCGCCGCTTGCGGCAGCCAGAATCTATGGGAAAATGGCGGACCTTTTCCTCTAGAGTTAGTATGTATGATCTCTATGCCTTGAAGGGAGAGAGGGAAGCGCTGCTGCTTTAGATCTAGGTGGTGTTGGGTCGGCGCCGCCCCCACGCTGCCGCCGCACGCTGAGCGTGGCGCGCCGCCGCCGTCAATGTTTCACCGGCGCACAAGCCTATCACGTGGTGCTTGCGCTCGTTCGGGAGCTTCCTTTCGGTTCTGAAAGTTACATACTAATCTTCGTTTCTTTGTTGCGCTTCGAATGAAGATTGATAGGTAACTTTTAGAGCCCATATGAAGCTTCCGAAAAAGCTCAAGCAGCATGTAACCATAGCGGCCAGTCACGTGACCACAGTGGCCACTTTACCGCGGGCTCCCGCGGGCACCAACTACAAATTTTGTTTGTTGTAAATTCGTTTTATGACACCCTTCTTCAATCTAGGCTGTTGAGAAAAAATATATTTTTCCTTTCCATGTGTTCTTTAAACTAAACTGATTTGGCCTAATTTATGCCAGATAAAACAAATGCTAAACATCGCAGTTTTGATGTTTTGGTGGCATATTCGGAGCCTTAAATTTTATGATACACTGTACATTTTACTTACCAAATACTATAACTCTGTAGGCCTATGCATGTGCTATACACGAACTCATCTGGGTTACATCACGGCGCGGCGGTGGCGCGTCGGGCGCATTTCCGGTCTGGGGCTGTGGGTGGAAATCCCCATGTGAGAAGTGTGTTCCTGCATTGTTTTTAAAGGAGCCAGACAAAAACTTTGCTTCTCGTCAAAACGCCGCGACTGGGGCTGTATGAAAAGAGTCGAGAAAGGTTTGAAGATTAGCGTTCATTTGCTCGGTTCGTCCGAGGACGTGGATATGTGCCGTGAAAATGGAAAACTAGACGCCGTTGGACCACGATTACTTGGGCGGGAAGCACTTTGGGTGTAATTCACGGATACTTGTGGTCATCAGATTTATTGGTTTTGTTCCAACATGAACGCCCGAAAATCGTCAAGTTGTACGGATCCCCTGCGGACTACGTTCAGTAGGTCTTCAAGTTTGAACGGCCGCCTGATCGTTCGGACTGTCGTCTGCTCTTTCAAACGCTCCTGCTTGTCGCCTGCTCTTTTAGACGACACCGGCCCGTAGACCAAGTGTTGGCCCGGTACTTGAGATAAGAAGTAAGTACAGGTCTCAAAAGACTTAAGTTTTAAGGTTGGTAACCAGGCTCGATGTAAACAGTAGATAGAAGGAGATGTTGATAATTGTTACCAGTGGCCATCACCGACTTGTTATGCCTGATTCACTTGGTCCGATTCTGCTTTCGATTTTCTGTATCGACGTCGACCATCTCAGCTACGGTTCACACTTGCCGCCCGAGCGACGTCGCGACTGAAAATTGCGAGCGAAATCTCTTCATGGGAGTCAGGCTTTAAAATACATTCTGCGGCGTCCACGCGGAATGAATCGCCGCATGCCACATTATTAACGCGAAGTTTTGCGGTATAACGAGCCTCGGTAATTTCGCTGAGGCCACTCAAGTAGTCAGACATCGCCAGGGAGACGTAGAATCAAGAATTCGAACGCGAAAAAGAGAGGGGGAACTCACACCGACGCAGACACCATCGCAATTCAATGGTTTGTTTATGGGCGACGGCGAGCTTCTTGCCCACACTCTATCGC